TGTCAAGGTGGTAGATTTTCCTTTAAACAATTGTAGGAGAAAAATTACAAAGCAAAAATGGACAGAAAATTTTGGATGATTTATTTAAAAGTGAGAAACTACCAAAATTTAACTAAAATAACATCAAAACATAGGGAGATTGTTTAAGAGGGGAAAGCAATCGAGAGGGAGGGAGGGAAAGAATAAGGGACAGAAAAAGGATTTGAGATGTACCAACTCCACACAAGGACTATGAACATGTAACCAAAGGGGGCTGGCAAGGGAGAGTAGAGGGGGCGGTGAAAAAGGAATGAAGGATTTATAATCCTCAGAGATTGTGAACAGGTACTACACGCATCTACTAATAAGCTAAATTTAGAAACACTTTGTACAAATAAGGGAGCACCATCTAGCTCTTGATGATTAAATGTTCAAAGAACATATGTGGGTAATTTGTGTAAGAGGAAAAATAACTTAGTTACAGGAAATAAAGAATAGAATGCAAAGTTTCATCTCAATTGAAAAATGCCAGTCAGTCGGGGGGGGGGTCGTAGCTCAGTGGCACTGGGCTTGCCTTACAAGCACAAGGTCCTGAGTTTGATCCATACCCAAAAAAAGAATTGATGGGGTAACATTTTATACATGGAGTAGCTGAGTATGGATACATTTTTTTCATGGCATGAGCACTGCAACACTAATGAGTATGAAATGCAGTTAACAAATGTGAAACTTGATACAAAATGAGACCTTGAGTAATTATAAATGAATTCTTTGTGTGGGTAAAGATGAAAGGGTATTTATAAGAAACTATGAGTTTTTGAGCAGGGCATGGTTGGGCACACTTGTAATCCCAGCACTCTGAAGGCTGAGGCAGGAGGATCACTCCCAAGTTTGAGGCCAGTCTGAACTACAGAGTGAGACCTTGTATCAAAAGAACAAATAAAAAAGAACATACACACACACATATCTTGTTGGTAGTGGTAGAATAAGGCAGATAGCTGAATCTTATAGTTACATCACTAAAATAATATCCGTTAACATTTTAATGTGTGTTATCATTGAAAACCGTGAAAGCTTTGCTATCAGTTTTAGGAGAAACAAAAAGTTTGGTGCTGTAATTTGCTTTTGCTTTGCTTTTGCTTGAATGTATAATTCAGGTGACGTGCTTTGAAGTATAAGAGTCAAAATGCCAGATAGGGCTGGGGAATTGGTAATTATTTATTTATTTATTTATTTATTTTTGGGGTACCATGGATTGAGCTGTGGTCCTTGCCCCTGCGAATCAGGCGTCAGAGCCACTGAGCCAAATTCCCAGCCCAAAACTCAAACTTTGAATTACCTTAACCCCCCCCCCCTTTGAGTATTAAATAACCAGAGATTTGAGGTTTTGTGGCTGACAGTTGCTGCAGCCATGGTGGGAGGCTCCAGAGTTAAATCATGAAGAGGTCCTGGTAAATGACCCACAGAGAGATTCAGAACTGACACTGTGGCACACACTGGCCCTGAACTCACTGCTTTGGCCTCTTGAATGCTGGGAGTAGAGTATACAGTGACCGCCTTGGCCTTGGGCCGATTTTATATTAGCACAGCCTCTCTTAGTCTTCTCTTTGTCTGTGGTTAGTTTTTAAAAATAAGTTTCAATGTGGACATCTGTAGCTTTTATTGTTCTGGCATTCAAGGTAGTATATTTTGGTATAATGGTGCTTGCTTCAGCAGCACATGTATTTTGATAATAATGATTATTTTAGAATTGATAAATCGAGGACTGGGAATTTAGCTCATTGGTGCTGCCGCCTGCCTCACAAGCACATGTTCCTGAGTTCAGTTCCTGGTACCCCCCCCCAAAAAAAGAATTGGTAAATGGAAAAATAGCACGTATTTAAAGCTGTTTCTTTGTAAGTGTGCTTTTGGTTTGGTTTGGTTTGGTACTGGGAATTGAACACAGGACCTTGAACTTGGGAGGCAGGTGCCGTGCCACTGATCCTCAGGCCCTTGCAAGCTTGCATTTTTTAAGTTAAAATGTTCTTAACAGTTGGCTTGATTGGTGATTGTTTGATGGACACCACTGTTTTCTCTTGCATTTCATTATAATTATTCTTTGAAATTTGTTAAGAGCAGAAAGAGCTTTCATTGATTTTTCCCAGATTTAAAAGTTAAATTTGTTTGATTTGTAGTTATAGGTTCCTTTCCATTTTGGAAGACTATTTGATGTAGTATCAACATTTTAAAATGCAGAATTCTTGGCTGGGGATTTAGCTCATTGGTGGCACGTGCCTATAAATGTAGAATTCTAGTTATGCTAGTAAGTTCATTTCGTAGCACCTCTCAGGGAATAATTCTGCATGTACATATACAGGGGAGCAAAAACTAGGGTATTTATTGCTTCATTTTACACACACATACCCCTTCTGGCCTCTGTACGTTATGAATTCCTACATATTATTAGAAGTGCAGGCTCTTCAACAGTGTTTATTATTTTAAAAATGAAGGTTTTTTTTTTAAGGCATATAATACATACGTAAAGTTTCTAAAGGAGATTTGAAAGCTCACTTGCCAAAATGCTCTTTGGCATTGGTTTGCCCAAGGGGAATGTCATTGTATGGTGTGATCCAAAGGGACATTGAGTTTTGTCTGTGCCAGATTTTTTTTTTTTTTTAATCACAGAGTGTTTTTACAAGAATGTATTGCTGTTTAATTTGTGCAGTGTTGATATAGATACATCAGTAGGCTTTATTGATTGAGATTTGCCTACATTGAAATAAAGGGGGCAAATGGAATTTAGGCTTAATTTTTCTTTGATAATTTAAATAGAAAATTTGAGGAAGTTGTGAGTAAGGAACTTTGAACAGTCTTGAATGGTGGCTTTTTAGTCATATAAAGAATAACTTTGCAGGTAAGCAAGTGTCCAGAGATGTACTTTGAAATGTAACTCCTGATGGCATTTGATGTGTAGATTACATAATGGCAAGATTAATGTTTTCTTTGATCTTTGTCTTGTAAAACTTTTCCAGCAGTAGAAGGGAGAAGGACCTGTAAGTTTTAGTGAACTGTTTTTGTTACTGTGTCCTGGTTGCTGAAAATGCAGACACGGTGCTTCTCCCAGGCTTGCTTAGTAATGGGGTATGCCTGTACTTGGTGAATGTCTGTCTTTTAGCGATGATTCAGGGTAGATTAGAATTAATTACCCTCCAGGGAAATTTTTCACAATAAAAAATTTAATTATGGTATGTTTGCATATTTCTTGTGAGATACCTTTTTCCAAACAGCGCAATTGTTTCTAAACTTTAGGTCACATTAATAATATTGAGGATGTTACTAGTTAGTAAGCCCATCCTGGAGATGGGCTGTCTACAGTGTTTAGGGAATGGAAATCAGTCAGTCCTCCTTTCTTCCTCAGGTTGACCCCAGTTCCTTCACACTAAGCATTCCCCTGACCCTTTTTAATATTTTAATTTTTTGGAGACAGGATCTCATTAAGTTGCTGGCTGGGTTTGCATTTGTGATCCTTTGCATCAGCCTCCCAGACCCTGGGATTATAGATGTGTGCTAAAATGTCTGGTTACAAACAGTGATTCTTAAACTGACTTGGACAAAGGAAAAACCACCAGGGTGTGTGTGGTTTAAAAATAGATGTTTGAATTATACTCTCGGAGATTCTGGCTTAATTGAGAGAGAGCGTGTAGCTAAGGCTGCATACCTTTGCCTTAAACTTGTCTGCTTTGGTTGTCTGTTGCTCAGGATGTAATGAGTAATTTCATTGCCAAAATTCTCTGGCAGGGGCTGGGGATTTAGCTTAGTGGTTCTGCCGCCTGCCTCATAAGTACAAGGACCCGAGTTCAATCCTCAGTACTAAAAGCAAAACAAAACAAAACAAGACAGAATTCTCTGGCAGTTTGAACTGATTTAAGGTGGTCTTCTCTAGTTAGGCTCTTCCTTTCTTTCATGACCCTGTACTTTTTTTTTCTGGTTACTTTTTTGTAGCCTTTTCTCCACTGCAGTGGGAATAACCTTGCTTGTACACTGCTGAATTCTCAGTGCCTAGGACAGGGCTAGGTATACAGTAGCCATTGATGATGATTGAGCAAATGATGGTCTCCTCATGTACTGTAAATTTGCTAGCATGTATTAATGAGTAAATGTTTATTGAATGAATGGGCAATAGATATCTCCTGAGTAAAATATTACTTTGCCTTTAAAAGTAATGTTTGAATTTGCGGTTATGTGGAAGAGTGTGTACTGTGCCAAATAAAAAGCTGCTTATGGGTTGGGGATTAAGCTCAGCGGTTTGGTAGCCCGCCTTGCAAGCGCAAAGACCCGAGTTCAATCCCCAGTACCAAAATTTAAAAAGCTGCTTGTATAATACCTGTGCATTTACTAAACCACTTATAATCCAAGAAGTGTGTATTTTGGTATAAAAAATACACTAAAATAACAGGTAAAATTTTAATGTCAATTAAAAAATTAAAAAATGAAACAGTACCAAGATAATTTGAAATTTGTGGAGTTGGCAGCATTATAATTAGAACACTAAAACTGGGGCAGTAGGAACCTGTGTGTCTTACTCCATTTTCATTGATTTTTTTGAAGATGATAATGATCTCCTTAGTATTTTAGTTAGCTGACAGACAATTTGACAGGCTTAGCTGAGCATGGTGGCGCACGCCTGTAATCCCAGCACTTGGGAGTCTGAAGCAGGAGGATCGCTGCAAGTTCCAGGCTAGCCTGAACTACAGAGTGAGACCCTGTCTCCAAACAAACCGACAGACAGACCAAAAAATTGATATTAATGGTAGACATGAGACTATGCTGCTTGATACACTTTTTCTTTTTTAAGATAGAAGGGGTGGTATAGCTGTTGGGTAGGATGAATCGAGCCACATCCTGTCCTTGTTAATGTGGTCATAAGTACCTGTAGTTTCCTCCTGTATACCAGCTCTGTTTTGCTTTAGGTGTGAGTAAGCTTATCTGTGAACGTTGTGTAATGCCAAATGAATTGCTTAATTTTTTTTCTCCATCTGTAGGCTAAAGAAATCCTGACGAAAGAATCCAACGTGCAAGAGGTTCGATGTCCAGTTACTGTCTGTGGAGATGTACATGGGCAATTTCATGATCTCATGGAACTGTTTAGAATTGGTGGCAAGTCGCCAGATACAAATTATTTGTTTATGGGAGATTATGTTGACCGAGGATATTATTCAGTTGAAACAGTTACACTGCTTGTAGCTCTTAAGGTACTTTAAAGTTTTGTTTGGACTTTTTGAATTGGGTAGGAGGGTCCTCTTAAATCTTTGTTTTTCCTAGTGCTTTGCAGTTTTCCTCTGTCTGTATGTCACATTTTAGAATAAAATTTCTTATTTAGGAATGTAAATAATGAAGACTATATGTACCAATTGTATAGCTTTGTGAAATGTATAGATGAAGATCTGAAGGTGAAGCAGAAAATAGTATTTAGCTTTTAGGGTAAAACGTTTCTGCCTTTTGCTTATAAAAAATTTGTTTGACTTTATCTTTGGGGAGCCTTTTCTTTTTGTTTTTGTTTTTCTATTTTCACCCTTTTCCTAGACAAGAGGCTCATGTTATAGAATAGTCACAACGATAAAATAGGTGCCACAGACTTTTCTAATATTAAAGAAGTAGTGAGTCATGGTTTCAAGAACTGAATTGTAGGTGATTGATAGGTTAATTGTGTGGAAAGTTACAGAACTTTTTTGGAAGTCATTATATTCTGCATTTGTGAAATGAAGGAGTTGTTTTCTTTCTTTCTTTCTTTCTTTCTTTTTTTGGTACTGGGGATTGAATTTGGGACCTTGCACCAGGCGACAGAACCACAGAGCTAAATCCCCAGCCCATAAAGGAGTTGGATTAGATGAAGGAAGGTGTCTCCAGATATTTTGAAGGAAGCTAGCCAGCCCTCTGTGCTTAAAGGCATAGGATCCATCCCAATGGACAGAAGAGAAACAAATGTACTGCCTTTAAAATTCACCCAGAAGGTGTAATGGATTGAATTGTGTGCCTTCAAATTTTATGTATTGAAGTCTTAACCCAGGGCCTTTACAGAGGTAATTAAGTGAAATGGGAGGGCCTTAATCCAATCAATGAGTGATGATGTCCTTAGTAAAATACAATAGGGCAGAGTTAGGGAAGAAGGTAGGAGGTCGAGCAGAAAATAGTTATCTATGGGTCAGGGAGAGAGGCCTTCAAAAGAACCACCCTCCTGGCACCTTAATCTTGCTGGCTCCAGGAACGTACGGAAATACATTTCTGTACTCTGTGGTGCTTTGGTATGGCAGCCCTAGCAGACGAGTCCTAGGAGAAAGGAAAGCCATCATGGTACTGGTGAGGTGTCTCAATGGTTGCAGGCTTGCTTACCACGCACAAAGCCCTGGGCTGAATTCTCAGTAGCAGTAACAACAAAAAACTACAGATCTAAATGCAAGATCTAACCTATAAATGTCTGGGATACATTGTAAGAGAAAGTCTTTTTGATCCTTTGTTAAGCAAAGACTACATATGTTTACAAAAATATGACTTGTTAAACAGAAAACTTGATTTTCTCAAAATTAAGATTTTTGGGTTCTTCAAAAGACATCACAGGGGCTTGGGATGTAGCTCAGTGGCACTGCACCTGCCTTCGCAAGTGCAAGGTCCTGTGTTCGATCCTTGGTACCTCAAAAAAGAGACATCACAAAGAGAAAGTATTTGTATTGAGTCTTCAAATATTTGTTATGCGTTTTAGTTTTTAATTATTTGGTACCTGAAATTGAACCCAGGGCCTCCTGCATGCTCATGAGCATGTGCTGTGCCACTGAGTTACACCTATATCTTTTTTTTTTTTTTTTTTGGCTTTTTTGAGACAGGGTCTGACTGTGTAGTTGAGACTGACCTGGAACTCACTGTGTAGCCAGCCCAAGCTGGTCTCAAACTCACAGCAATCCTCCTGCCTCAGCCTCCTGAGTGCTGGGATTACAGGTGTGTGCCCAGCTCTTCAAATTTTTTTTTTTTTTTACAAAGCCTTTTGTATACTAACAAGACAGGTAACTTAAGTGGGAAAATATTTAAAGCTGTTTCACACAAGAGATACATTGCGGCTCTCTGGGGGGACCCCGTCCCGCGGGGAATAGGAGGTGAGAGCCGCCTCTTATTCGTGGGTCATCAGAGGCCGATCCGATCTTGAATGTCTGTGGAGGAAATCTTTAAGAAGTTAGAGTACACGGCCCAAGTCTGGTTTCTGATCAAAGGCGCTTTATTGGCTCAGCAAAACGATTATATACTGTTATCCCAGGGGGAAGGTTCAGCAAGCTTATTGGACAGTTCAAACAAATCAATCACATGAGTCACTCAAGCATTTAACCATACAGCAATCAGTATTTTACCAAATATGGGGAGGGGTAGGTGGGAAGGCGTACATCAGCAATTAACCCTATGCAATCTTTAACTTAACAATCTCTAGGGGCAAGCAGGACAAGGAAATACCACCGGCCTCCTGCTCCAGATCCCGTGACCCTGTGGTTAGCACAAAGGGCTATTTTTTCTGTAAGATTCCCTGTTTGCCCAGGGGCTAGACCTGCCATAAGTCACGTATGTAGTCTAGTGGGATTTTTCCACTGAGGCAAAGGCTAAGGTTGAGGGCAGTCATCTTATGCAGGCCCAAGCAGTCTCTCACAATACATGGTCAGTAAACACATGAAAAGATGCTTTAACACATTTAGTCATTAGCGAAATGCAGGTTGAGGTAATGGTGAGCTAGTATTTCACATGGTGTTAGAATGACAGATCATTGAGGCTCTGAAGAGACCGTGTTGGTGAATGTGCAGAAGTGAGAATGTGCATGCAGTGCTAGTGGGAATATGAAATAGCTCAGCCACTGGACTGTTTTTCAGAAAGTTGAGTATATACACCTACTGTATGACCTAACAATTAACATTCCTAGAAGTCCATCCAAGAGAAATGAAAGTATCTGTTCATGCAAAAACCTTCCATGCAAATGATCTTAGCACTAATTCATGATAGCCAAAAAACTGGAAACAGTCACCAATTCATCCTCCAGGTACGTGGAGAAACAAAAGGCGATACTATAAAGACGAATAAACCACTGACCTGTGCTGCAGCACAGATGAGCCTTAAAACATTCCAAGTGATACCTTCCACAGAAGACTACTTTTTATATTACTCTGTTCTGTGGAATTTCTAGAAGAGACAGTCTCAAGAGAAAAAGTCGATCAGCGGTTGCCAGGAGCCGAGTGTGGGAGTGGAGAGTGACTGCAGACAGGCAAGAGAGATCTTGAGCTAATTAGAAAGTTCTAAAACTGGGCTGTGGTGATTGTTGTGGAACTAAATTTACTAAACGTCATTGAACTGGAAAAAAATTTCATGTATGAGGTTTAATAACCCATGGCTACTTGATAGAAAATGGGTGGTAGAAGGTATTTGAATTTAATTGAGACGGGGTTGACAAAATACCTCATGGGCATTTGTATTTGTAGATCTGTGGCTTTACTTCAGTGCGATGTAGAGAGATGTATTATGTTTTTGTAACAGATTTGGAACTCTTTTGAGTTTCCCAGTGGAAAGCTTCCTGAATTGTCGTTTGATTTGTGAAGGAATTAGCTATTGATGTTATCTATTTTTTTGTTTTAGGTTCGTTACCGTGAACGCATCACTATTCTTCGAGGGAATCATGAGAGCAGACAGATCACACAAGTATATGGTTTTTATGATGAGTGTTTAAGAAAATACGGAAATGCAAATGTTTGGAAATATTTTACAGATCTTTTTGATTATCTTCCTCTCACTGCCTTGGTGGATGGACAGGTCTGTGCATCTTAAAACTCATTGTTGATTGTTGTTAGGGATCTTATCATTTTATTACCCTCCCCTACAACTCTCAGGCTGGCCAAGCCAGCCTTGAATTTGTAATCCTTAGCCTCCCAAGGACTGAGGTTTATAGGCATTGTCACCACCTGAGGAATCTGATTTTATCCCCTTTTTTTCCTTCCTTTGTGTGAACAAAGATTGAACCCAAGACCTTTGCACTGAGCAAGGTCCCCAACCCTTTTTAAATTTTGAGGCAGAGTCTTGAACCTGTGATACTCCTGCATCAGCCTCCTAGGGTGCTGGAGAAATCTGCTTTCTTAATGTTTAGATGCAAGTAACTTTGTTTTCTATTATTGTACCCCTTTTGGGGTTTCCTTTTTTTTTTTTACCTTTCGTAGCAAGCCCTGAACTGTATGGGGTGGGATCACGGGGGTAGAAAATGTAGCTCAAGTCTTTTTACTGCTCTGGGTAGATAGAGGTGGTACACAGAATTTGCAAGAAACGTCTGCAAGTATGGTGATACTACAGGTTTTTTTGGTTTTGTTTTGTTGTTTTTTGGGGGGGGGTTGTTTTGGTTTTTTGTTGGGTTTTTTGTTTTGTTTTGTTTTGTTTTTTGTTGTTGTTTTTGGTGCCGGGGATTGAACTTGGGACCTTGCGCTTTCTTTTGAGGTAGGCAGCAGCACCTCTGAGCTAAATCCCCAGCTGCAGTTAGTTTTAGTGGAGGGGAGCAGGTAACATTAGAGGATAATATTTTCTTGAAGGAGCTGATGGAGCTGGCGTCCGGATTTGGAATGAGTGGTGTGTTGGGAAGACAGAGTACTAAGTAGTGCAGAGTGGGCTAGAGGGAAGGCAGGTCCTCCGGTCAGACCTCAGACTGGAAGAGCTCAGTAACACAGTGGGGCCAAATGATGGGGCCCCTCCCTATCTGGAGCTTAATGTAGACTAGTTCAGAGTCCTTTTGAGTGAATTTAACATTTTAAACCAATGTTTTTCAGATCTTCTGTCTACATGGTGGCCTCTCTCCATCCATAGACACACTGGATCACATCAGAGCACTTGATCGCCTACAAGAAGTTCCCCATGAGGTATGGCTTTTACTTGGTGATAAATTCTTTTTAGGAAACTTTTTTTTGTTTTTGGTACTGGGGGCCGAACTTGGGTCCTTGCACTTGCAGAGCAGGCAGCAGAACCACTGAGTTAAATCCCTGGCCCTCAGGAAACTTTTTACAGAAGTTTAATTACAAGTTCGGCATTATATGTATGAACACAGTTGTCAGCTCCATTGCTCGGAAGGTTAGAAATCTGCCAAGATCACAATGGATGTGTGACTGGGTGTATTAGAACCTGCGCTTAAATGACAGGTTCATACTCCTCATACTGAAGTTTGCCTCCTATAGGCAGATTGAGGCTGATGCCAGTTTATGCATCATGAAGACTTCTGGAAAATGCCACTGATTTCACAGACTTCTCAACTGAAAGATCTGTTGTTTCAGCAAGCATCACTCAAAAAGTGACATAGCAAGCTGCTTTTGATGAATTATTCAGATCGTGTGTAACTTGAACCTGCTTTTTTAGGGTCCAATGTGTGACTTGCTGTGGTCAGATCCAGATGATCGTGGTGGCTGGGGTATTTCTCCTCGGGGAGCTGGTTACACCTTTGGCCAAGATATTTCTGAGACATTTAATCATGCCAATGGCCTCACTTTGGTGTCTAGAGCTCACCAGCTGGTGATGGAGGTATGTTCTGTTCTTTGAAACAAGACTTGCTTTTTAGTAAACCAAAGGAGAGAAGATTCTAGGGAGTTTTATTTTAATGCTGTTACTGAGTCATTCCATATATTCCTTCTCTGAGTTGGCCCTTGTAGCGTGAGCCTTTTGGTATCTGTACACTAGAATTAAAACAAAGCCTTTCACATCCGAGGGACTCAAAGACCTGCTGCTAGGTCCCATCTTCTTCCAGAATGACTACTCTGGGGATGAAGCCTTTTACACCTCATGTGCCTTTAGAGGTCGTGTAACACTCACACTATAGCAGTATGTGTTTATTTTTACAAGGGATGGCCATATAGTCATATCTTAAGTCATATCTTTTTCTTCATTCTTTTGTTGCTTTTTTTTTTTTTTTTGGTACCAGGGATCGAACTCGGGTCCTTGCGCTTGCAAGGCAGGCCACCAAACCGCTGAGCTAAATCCCCAGCCCCTTGATTTTGTTTCTTGAGACAGGGTCTCACTTTGAAGTTCAGGCTGGCCTCAAAGTTTTGGTGATCCTCCTGCCTCAGCCTCCTGACTGCTGGGATTACAGGCATGCTTCATTCTTAGTCATGTTTAGGTCACTTTATTAAAAGCCTGATGACACACAGGCATCTACATAGGGCCAGCTGTATATAGTTTATTGATGTTACATATTTTAGAAGGTGGGGAAGTTGAGCCTAAGGTCTCCTTGCATGCTAAGCTAGCACTCTTCTACTGAAGTACAACCCCTCACCCCACCCCACACACCTTTTGTCTTTATCGAGACAAAGTTTGGGTAATTGCCCCGGTTGTCTTTCAACTTGTGATCCTCCTGCCTTAGCCTCCCAGGTAGCTGGGATTACAGGTGTGACACCCATGCCAAATTTTTATTTCTTTCTGTAGTAAAAGACTAGTTTGTTAATTTGGGGAAAGTAAATAATTTGTGCAAATTACAGGAGATGAAGCCTTTTGGAGGGAAGTTACATTTTTTTACTTTAGTGGTGGTGGTAATAGTAGTAGTAGTAGTAGTAGTAGTAGTAGTAGTAGTAGTAGTAGTATGTAAATTCTGGAATAAAGAGCTTTTTTTTCCCCTTTGTAGGGATACAACTGGTGCCATGACCGGAATGTAGTAACAATTTTCAGTGCTCCCAACTATTGTTATCGTTGTGGTAACCAGGCTGCAATCATGGAACTTGATGATACTCTAAAATATTCTTTGTAAGTATTTATACCTGAGCATTTGGTTGCATTATGAATGGTCTTACCAGGAAGTATAAGTGTTCATGAATTGATGCTAATTCCAAGTTGATTTTTAAGTTTTCTTTGAAATAGACCTATGATATATTAGAATGCATCCACAAACTATCCCAGGTATAGGCCCTATTATTAATTACTAGGTGTTCAGTTTTTAAACCTATATTTTTATTATGGACTTAATTATATTCTGAAGATGAGAAATCAGGTACAGTACTTAGATGCTTTAAATTTACTTGTTTGGTAGAGACTTACTTTCAAACAACCTTAGAAGGGACTACGTTGTATAATAAAAGCATAGCTTTTCTAGCTGAAGTTGGCTTGGTTCTTATCAGGGGAATGCAGCTAAAAGACCTTACATGTGTAATTCAGTTCTACTTTCCATTCCAAGTTAAAATTGGGCAGGAAAAAGTTGTATAGTTTGAAAGACTGAAGTTCTTATTTCTAATTGACAACTGTGGGTGTCTTTGATCATAAACAGTGAACCTTGTCTTGTTTTTCAGCTTGCAGTTTGACCCAGCACCCCGTAGAGGTGAGCCACACGTCACTCGCCGTACCCCAGACTACTTCCTGTAATGACGTTTTAAACTTGTACAGTATTGCCATGAACCATTTATTGACCTAACGGAAATGGGAAGAGCAACAGTAACTCCAGAGTGTCAGAAAATAGTTAACATTCAAAAAAACTTGTTTTCACACGGACCAAAAGATGTGCCATATAAAAATACAAAGCCTCTTGTCATCAACGCCGTGACCACTTTAGAATGAACCAGTTCATTGCATGCTGAAGCGACATTGTTGGTCAAGAAACCAGTTTCTGGCATAGCGCTATTTGTAGTTACTTTTTGCTTTCTCTGAGAGACTGCAGATAATAAGATGTAAACATTAACACCTCGTGAATACGACTTAACTTCCATTTAGCGATAGCTTCATTCAGCATGACTGTAGATAAGGATAGCAGCAAACAATCATTGGCGCTTAATGAACATTTTTAAAAATAGGTACCAAGCCTCCCCTCTATTTGTGAGTTTTGAAATTGTTTTGTTTATTTTCAGGGATACTGTTTAATTTAATTGTATGATTTGTCTGCACTCAGTTTATTCCCTTCTCAGATCTCAGCCCCACATTGTTCTTTGTTATTGTCAGAACCTGGTGAGTTGTTCTGAGCAGAAATGTTCCCTCCTGTAAGACGATGTTACTGCACAGGAACACTTCAGTGCTTTTCATAATAAACTTGTGAACTAAGAACTGAGAAAGTCACATTTTAATTGTATCAGTGGGCAAGACTGGTGCTGTTTAAAGATAATTAATAAACTTTAGAATTTGTAGAATTCTAGATAAAAATAAAACTCAAGGCCTCTGCACAACCTCTCTGGTAACTTTTTGACCTTCTCCAGATGAGCTTCAGGGTTTATTTGTATGACCTGTAGTACTGTTTGTCACATTGCTGGTGTGCTGTGAACTTGTCTTTAAGAAAGGAAATCTGTGCTGCTTTGGGAAGATCTAATTGTTAAACTACGTAACATCAGAGTTAAGGTTTTAGGATTTGTTTAAAGTGGCATGTTTTCAGGTAAAGCTTAACTTCAATGATAATGTCTACTTAGTGCAGTTCCTGGTTATAAATACTATATTGTTTGTTGTGTATGTTTAAGAATTCCATGAACTTTTAAAAATAACTGACACATTTATAAGTTCTTAACATATTTGTACATTGCCTGTTGAGTCATGTGATCTTAATGTCTTAGAAAGCTGTTAAAGTAATAGCCTGTATTAATTCTTTTAAGTGATAATCAGTGAAAGCAAATAGGAAACTATCGTTGGATCATTGTTTAGTGTCATGTACGTTTACCCAAAGGCAAGTGGCATTTGAAGTGCCCTGTGCTCAACATTTAATGAATTCCCCCCCTTTTACTCTTTGAACAGGATTAGAAGTTCTGTGTGAACTAATACTTGACTTTTTAAGCTAACAGGGTACACTTCCGAACACTGATCATTACTTGTGTGAGTATAGTTAATAAACATTTCCTTGCTTTGTACTGTGTTGAATTTGAAACCAACGGAGAAATTACAACATTCCCTTTTTTAAGAAGCATGAGGGAAATATGCATACACACAGTTTTGAAGTGTGTGTGTATATACTTTGTTTTGTTTGTTTTGTACTGAGGATCGAACTTAGGACCTTGTGCTTGCGAGGCAGGCAGCAGAACCACTGAGCTAAATCCTGGCCCTGAAGTAAATTTTCTTGAATGATCGACTTTTTCCCTCTTCTCCAGTCTAATTGCTGGCACTGTGGCTCATGGAGTTTATTGTGCAAAGCAAAACATCCTTTGTTTTTCTCCGTACCTCCTTTTCTCCATTTTATTCTTTTCCGCCTTTATAAGAAATATGTGTTCCCTTTCTTTACCTTGTCACTTTATACACTTTCTTCTGACTGAACAAATAGCACATTTGTGTGCAGCAGTTTTAATCCAGTGCCCGGGTGATCTAAACATCAAACAGCTATTTGACAGGTCTTGTGATGTTACATTTGACTCTGAAGGAATTCATACCTTGTAATTGACAAGAGATGCTGTCATCCAGGTATAAATCATATATTGTGGATACTAGAATGGGACTTGTGGCAGGAATTGCATGGTTTTGTGTTCATACCTGAGCTGTGTATGAAATGGGTAAGGAAAATACGTGGTAATTTCCTCTAAAAACATAATTATGACTGAAGTCACTAAGTTAAGTGAAGTAGACTTTCTAATTTGGTTAAAAAAACGGAATTTTCACTTTAAAAGATGCTTGATTGAAGAAAGGTTAGTGATAAGGTGCCCTGGGCTGGAGATTTAGCTTAGAATGTTTGCCTAGCATCACACACACAGCATTCTGAGTACTGTAGACTGAAGTCTTGCAGAAGTTTGCTATGTAGCTGAATGAATTTGTGGAGTGATGTGCTTATTTCTTGGGTTGAGTAAGCAACTGAGTTTTAAATTGTTTTTTGTTTTGTTTTTTTTAATTTTAACACATAAAAATTGTGTGTATCAAAGAGGTGTCTTGTAATGTTTCATTACATGTGTACATTGTGTAATGTTTAAATCAGGTTAAACATATCTTGCCTTGGGCCAGGGATGTAGCTCAGTGGTGCTACGCCTGCCTGGCAAGCGCAAAGTCCTGAGTTTGAGCCCTGGTACCAAAACAAAAAAATTTTTTTGTCTCAAGCATGTTGTCACTTCTCCGTGACAAAATCTTCCAGAATCCTTTCTTCTAGCTTTTTTGAAATACATAATGTTGTTACCCACAAATAACCGTACTGTGTAGTAGTGTACCAGAATGCCTTCCTTCTATCTAACCATAATTTAGTAGCCAATGGCCAACCTTTTCCCATGCCCACCCCCCAGCACAAATGATTGTTTCCCCCTTTGGTTGCATATTAAAACATTTGTTGATTGTAAAAGGTGTGTTTTAGGTGAAAGTTTAGCATGCTGGTATTTTTCGCAGAGTTGGCTTCATAGAAAAATGACTTATTTCTGTGGTTCTTAGTCTTCATCCCTTTAGAGATCTTAATTTAAATTATTTAGAGGAAGACACAGGCGTAGGAATCTAGGCAAATTATTCTAATTTATATCTAGGGCTAAGAAACATACTCCTTGTTTCCTAAGTACCAATTTAAGGAAACTGAGTTTTATGGTAATGGATGGTAGTTTATAGGCTTCAGTAAATAATTAAAATGTATTTATGGTTCTTAGCTTTGTTGGTTAGTACTGATTATCCTGTGTGAGGCGTGACTTTAACCCATTTATGTTAAGATTGCAGTTTTATTTTGGGGGTTTGGGTCTCAGTATGTGGTTCAGGCTGGCCTTGAACTCACAGCGATCCCCCTGCCTCAGTCCCAAATGCTGGGATTATGGGTGTGTACCACCATGCCTGGCAGTTTTTTGAATTTTTGGATGAAATTCATACATGTTGCTTAGAAAAATTCAAGGGATACAAAATTTGAAGAGAGAATTTTGTTATGGGCCCTCCAAAAATGGAATACAGGCATTTAGGATTATCAAGTTCAGGATGGGGCTATAATTCATACGCTTCGCTGCCAGTTGTCTTGAATCACTAGTGGTTCAGCATTTCAGGCCAGCACGAATGTGTTACAGTTGTGGTCTAGAAGTGGGGTTGAAGTCTAGTAATGCACTGTTTTGAGGCGGGTTCTGTTCCTATGAGCCAAAGCTGTTTTTCATTTAAGACTTTAATTTCTTAAATTTTCATTTAAGACTTAATTTCTCACATTATTGACCATTTCCCGCCTGTATATAATTTTGGGGGGATGATATTGGGGATCAAACTTTGGTCCTTGTGCTTGCAAGGAATGCAGCAGAACCAATGAGCTAAATCCCCAGCCCTCTGTATATAATTTTTTTAACTTGTGGGTTGTTTTTTTTTTTCATAGTTGCACCTTTATTTTACTGAATAAGCTTTGTCAGACTTGATGTATTTGGGCATACCTGATGGTCCTGTATCTGTATCAGTTATAGCTTAAGCTTCGTGTCCTTAGGACTGTGTTGCTTATGCTTTTTGTTAGTATGTGAATTCCACAACTATGCCGTCTAGACAAAAAGGGTGATATCTATAACAGCACAGTTAGTTGGCTTGTAGGCATTGCTACCCTGGTAAATAGGTTAAAATGTTTGTCATCTGGTGTATACACTTGAGGGGAAAATGAGTTTAAAAGATGAACATAAAAAGATGGTAAAAGGAAATTATCGTAGCCAATGATCCAGTGCCAAAAAGTGGCCATACTTGTGTTTGTTTTTTCGTACCAGGGATTGAACTCAGGTCCTTGCCCTTGCAAGGCAGGCTACCGAACCACTGAGCTAAATCCCCAGCCCTGTACTTCTGTTTTTTAATGAAAAACACAAACCCGGAGTTCGTGGCTAGAGTTGAATTCTGAATAGTTCATATCCTCACAAGGCTTGAGAAAAGCAGCTGGGCTCTTCTCTGCCTACTGTGCTGAATACAACCAACCAACAGCTTGAGGCTTGTTTTTCCTGTTCTTAGTCGTTGTGTACAGTCCCATCAAGCAGCCATCCAGAGTGTTGTTAGTAGAGACACATGGTCCCTGTCTACACGTTCTTTCCAGAGATGATCTAGCACATTTGTGTTTTTTGAGTTTCTTCTTGTGCTAGGGATTGGACCTAGGGCCTCACAAGTTTGAGCCTGGCCTAAGTAACTCAGCCAGACCTCATCTTAGATGGCGAACTCTTGAAACACACGTGCCATAGGTTCACTTCTGGGGTTGAATTTTAAAGAGGGTTGGAGATACAGGTCAGTAGTAAGTAGTTCACTTGCCTAGGACGTGCGAGGCCCAGGGTTCAGCCCCCATGAATACACAGTACAAAGTAAGTCATTTATGGCTTCTGGAAATACATAAACTAGATGTTATGATCCTCTGGGGTTTAGAGAGAGGGACCTGTGTCAGTGAGTGAATTCTGCGTCAGGAAGCCAAGGGGAGCAGGCCCTTTGCGAAGTGGGTGGGGTGGTGGTGCAGGCTGGGCCTTTTAAGTGTTGGCCCGTCAAGTATCTTCTTGTTAGAATTCATGCCATGACCTATGTCTCCATTATTTCAATCACATTGTAAAAATAATAGCTGAGTCTGAGTAGAAAAATGACTCGGCCTTGCTACCATTGCCAAACTTTTGCTTCCAGAAATAATAGAATGTTCACAGTGGACCTAGGGTGACATTGGAAAGGAAAACGTGGTATCGCTAGGAGAGGTATTTATAGGATAACAGTACCGCTTCTCCAACTTTAAGAATATAAATGAAATCCTCCATTTTCCTCTTGCAGCTGATGAATGACTTGAGTCTCTAGTTTCTGAGAACCTTGATTTTTTTATGACTGTTGGAAATTAGCTGCTTATGCTGACAAGTGTAGTAATGAATAAAATCTCACAGTTACCCTCCTTTCGCCGTCTCCTCCCACTTCTGAAGACCCCTACTTTGTGATCTTTGGGAGGAGCCGGAAGCCTCCTTGACTGTTGTCTTTGGTGCCAAGTTAACCACCCACTCGTTCTGATAAAGACGACCCCAGAGATGCTGCCCATCTAATCTCTGAATGGTCAGCCTTTGCAAAGTTTTAACTTTTTCTACTTGTAAAGCATATATGTACAGGGAAATCAAGCAGTAGAGGTTTACATTTTTTAGAAAAGGAAGGTTACCCGACTTCCGGTTTACTTTTGTGAGAGAATCTCTGTTGATGGCCGTGGATACCTCACAGTTCGGGCAGCACATACAAGTGTGGCTGTGGGTGGCTGTACGCCATTAAGTTCCCTCAGGACCGCTGTGTACATTGCCTCTGGGAACAGTCGTGTTAGGGTTGAACGCACCAATGTGGATACTGTGGGTGTAGGTTCCGGCTTACATTGGGCAGACACTTCTGCGAATGCTTTTGCTTTTTTTTTTTTTTTTTTTTTTTTTTTTTTTTTTTTTTTTTGTTTAGCTTGACGTCTTAAGCTAATTGTGTCAGCCAGTCCATTTAAATTTTTCACAACTAATAGTGAATTGGTAGAAATATACTGGGTCTCTGAAGGTGTTAAGTCATTTGTTAAATGAGGGCAAAACTAAATTAACTCACCAGTTTGTCCCTGTGAGGCCCTGAATAGGCACTGCTTCAGCAGGGTGGCCAATTGGCTTGTTTGCCGAGGACTTCCGGGGTTTCCCAGGAAGCAGAACTCTCACTTCTCAAACCAGGATGGTTGATCACCCTGGTACCTTACAGGTGCAAGAAGCCTTTTCCATCCTCACTAAC